ATGGTTTATTTTGATGAAATCAATGAATATGATTGAAGTTTCTGTATAGATATAATTTAAATTAAAAAAATACTTAATGGAAAAATTTGTATTATTTATCATGGTATTTATAATTGTATAGTAAAGACCCTTATTTTAATTTAATTTAACTTTAATTTAGTCTTTTGTTTAAATTGTATGCCATTTATGGTAAATTATGTAGATTCTTTTTGTATATGTCATCTTATTTTACCATATTTTTTGCAATAAATAAATGTAATCTAATCAAAAAAAAACTAAAAAAATAAGTTGAAAAAATATGTCAAGTGGGGTATCATTGTCTAGATAATCGAAAATAACGTTTAGGTTCGTTACACCATTTTTTATTTTATCTGACTGTTTAGGATCTACAACGATTTAAAGATGTATATCATCCACTTGCGCTTTTAATTTCAATCTAACGTTTGTATGGATCTTTGTTACTCTTTCACACAAAAAATACTAAATGGATTTTAATGAAACTTCTCCGATGTAAAACGGAAAAAATCTCCCATCTGCGAGCCATTTCGCCTGCACTGCAAAAACAATAAAAGTTACATGAATGTAATGTATGGTGTAAAGGACAATGGGCAAAACGCACCCAGCTCCGCCAACAATGTAATTAGTGTGAATCGATAGATCTATGAAAAACTAGCCTTTTTTATTATGACACCATAAAAAAGCATCCTGGCAGTCAAAAGATATGACAAATGGGCGTATTAAATATGCCCATGTAAAGTGAATTCACTTAAAATTTGAGTAGCTAAATAAATTCACTTTATAGTGCCTTCATTTTATATTATTAGTAGGAGTACTGCCATAATACCTTAGCTCTCTATGTAGTCGAACTAACTAAATTAATTCTCTCATTTTATTAATGTTCGTTCGTTATAGGTATGTATTAACTTATACTTATTTAACCAAAAATAACTAAAGATCCCCGGGATGGAATTTGATGCGCTTTGGCACAGATGGTCATGACTATAATATCTTTCAAACAAATGTAGTTTAAGCCATGTCGGACGTGGGTGCAGCATCCATACATGTTTGCCCAGTGTCCTTTATCTCTTAAATAGTTCTACTAAAAAGTTCGCGACAGTATATATCTATTTTTAATGTGCAATTATCGCTATAAAAGTGAATCAAAAATAAAATATTAGTTGATATCAATTTCCAAAATGCACATTTTGTATTAATAAATTATTTTTTATCAAAACAAATACTTTTATTACTTTTGATATTAAAGAAGATAAACTCTGCCCTTTACAATGTCATTTCGACCAATATTTAAAAAAGTTACAACGATGACAAAATGAGAGCGCGGTGTACTATGCAGGAGTAGACTGCCGGAATGGTCGGAGAAGAAATTTTGATGAATTTTGATGTTTATAAACGTAGATAAAACCTAGAAGGAAAATAATACAGTTCCTTCTTATTAAATGATGAAAATGAATTATCATAATAGGTATTTATGATTATTGAAATTTAATGAAAACTCAGAATTATACTGCTTTTAAAGTTTATTTTAACGATATTGTTTCATTTTACTAAAAGGTTACTTAACATAATGAGAAATAACCTATTATTATGGCTAGTAGGTATAAACTTGACTTCCTGTATTTAGTAATCAGCTCGCGATAATGTGTTTTGTAATTATAAACGATAATTCTGCAAAATTCTAGCAAGAGTATAAAATTTTATAGGTAAATCACCCCTTCCATTACTCCTATAAGTATTTCGATAATATAACATAGAACCAAGGTCCTATCTATATCTATAGGGAAATTCATTATAATCAATTTAGCTACCAGGCCGCGGAAGTGTAACAAACAAATTCACTTTCGCATATCTATAATATTATATTAAACTAGTGATCCACCCCGGCATTGCACGGGCGAAATTTATTTTAACGGGATAAAATATAGCCTATGTCACTTGGATATAATGCAGTTCAGTATAAAGAAAACTTTAACTAGAAAAAGTTGTCAGAGGGGATATTCTTCAAGTGAAAGTTTTCATTAGATTTATAAATCGAGCAGATAAATCAACGATATTGAGATTAATGCTTGAAAAAAAATGTAGCTACTTTATGGTGAATGAATATTTGTAATCAGTTCAGTAGTTGAAAGGTTATTTGTTACAAACATACAACTCTTGCCTCTTTATAATATATAGATACTTGGGATAATAATAAATATTTAATGGACGAAAAATATCTAAAAATAATCTAAATAATGGATTAATTTGATTATATTTCTAAAAGTTACTAAACATTTTTGGTAAACATGGATTGGTAATTCGGTAATTTATACATACTTATTCTTATTTTGTTCATAGGTATCAAAATATATTTGGAAATTAATTGCTATGATTGCACCATTTGCAATACTTACTAGTCTGGTAGCAGCCTGATTGATAGGTGGAAGTACTCTTTATTCGAGCTTTACACTACCAATAAAAAAGGGTAGACCAGAAAGTCTGCGATATGACATTGCATTTGTGTATAACACAATCTTAAAGCCGGACGTTGACAATACAGCCACTGCCAATTTAAGATAGTCGACATATAAAAGTAAATGAATTTTATATTTACTACTAAAAAGAAAATAAGCAAAAGATGATTTTTGAATATGTACTAGTTAAATATAAGAAAAGTTTACTAGAAAAAAATAAACATCTAGTATAATTTTTATTATTTTTAAAGCATGTAACTGCTTGATGTTTAAATCTAAAGAAAATATAACTAGAAAAAATTCCACGCGGACCAGGCAGCAGACGGGACTCGAACCCGCACCCTTCGCAATCCGGGCGAATGCACTGACCAATTATGCTACCGCGGCCCTCACGGACCGCGTCGAAATTCTTTCTAGCTATTCTTAAGCTGCAAGGCAGCGCCATCTCTTCGCATTATAGGTAAACCCACAATGTCAAATGAATACTTTTACAAGTATTAAACATTTGAAAGAAGAAATAGCAATTATAGTTATAATTTTTATTATTTTTAAAGCATGTAACTGCTTGATGTTTAAATCTAAAGAAAATATAACTAGAAAAAAAGCGGTAGCATAATTGGTCAGTGCATTCGCCCGGATTGCGAAGGGTGCGGGTTCGAGTCCCGTCTGCTGCCTGGTCCGCGTGGAATTTTTTCTAGTTATATTTTCTTTAGATTTAAACATCAAGCAGTTACATGCTTTAAAAATAATAAAAATTATAACTATAATTGCTATTTCTTCTTTCAAATGTTTAATACTTGTAAAAGTATTCATTTGACATTGTGGGTTTACCTATAATGCGAAGAGATGGCGCTGCCTTGCAGCTTAAGAATAGCTAGAAAGAATTTCGATGCGGTCCGTGAGGGCCGCGGTAGCATAATTGGTCAGTGCATTCGCCCGGATTGCGAAGGGTGCGGGTTCGAGTCCCGTCTGCTGCCTGGTCCGCGTGGAATTTTTTCTAGTTATATTTTCTTTAGATTTAAACATCTAGTAGTTAAATGCTTAAAAAAAAAATCATGTACTAGTTAACTATAAATATACATGCATTAGATATGTAGGAAGCGACTTGAGTTAACTTCACACATTTTTTCGAAAATTGTGGCCCACATTGTAGCCTTGACCCTATGGTAAGGTCTCTTATGTTATGTCTTAACAAAACAATCGTATACCACCGCAAGATTCTTAGTAATCCGTTAACTCCCTTGCCGAGTTATAAGTGACAAGACTGTGGTATATACCGTCTTATAATACTAACTAAAAAGTTTGAAATAAAAAAAGTAAATTTAAAAAATCAAAAAACCCGACTGCTTTATATTACTGCAAACAAAAACTGAAAAGAAAATAAAACAAGTCCAGTAGTCTATAATTCTGTTAAGTAAGGGACAAAGCTAATTTAACAGTCGGGAGTTTATTAAAAAAATTGATCCATTCTTGAATATCTAATGGGTCTCGACTGTTAAAGTAGCTTTGTCCCTTACTTAACAGAATTATAGCCTACTGGACTTCTTTTCTTTTCAGATTTTATTTGCAGTAATATAAAGCAGTCGGGTTTTTTGATTTTTTTTTTACTTTCTAACGTTGGTATCAGCATACAAGCATGTTCCATAATCAGCCTACTTGTAGCTCTTGGAAACGTTTTATGGGCACTCGTCGCCATCCGTCGCGCATCCACCGGCAGCGGCGTTTTACTGCCGACTGCCGGCATGGGGCACCTAGTTTTATTACGGGAACACAAACTTAATGTCAGGTTGTAAGAATCAGCCGTACGAAGGATATAAGGGTGCCAGATCAAAAAATCTAAATGTCGTGTAACCTTATTAAATATCGGGATTTTAGAGTTATATAGTGATTCATCAGGAGATTTCGTTACATGTCAGGAGTGTGGATGGTCATCACATGACGTATCGGAAGAATCCAGACAATTCTCGACCATCTGACTACCTATACGGATTCGTAGCACCTACAACAGCTTTACGACGATTCGACTTACGCACAGGTGTTCTCTGCTCCGATGTAAGATGACGTGTTTGTAATACAACTCTTAGGGACGGCACTCGGCATAGTATAAAAAAAACGACGGGTTGCACTCCGGGAGTGCCGGCAGAAGTGAAAACTTGAATATTAACGTTGTGCATTCTTGGTGTTTTGGAATGGTTAGGGAATAATTTTGCACGAATTGCTTTAATTATCAGTATAAAAGTACTATCATTTATGTGGTAGAATACAATATTTATATATTGCGCTATCGTACACAAACACGACAATTTATATTACCAAAAATATATAATACAGACACAGCACACAAAAGAAACAGGTACCACAACACAACACAATCACAACGAGTACAAAAATAATAATAAACAAAATTGATAATAATAAAAATAATTTTCAAAAATATGACAGTTGACCGGTGGCCAGTGCCTGTAGCCAACAACATCTTTTACAGAGTTTGTTTGTTGTCGGATAATAAAATGTGTGGTGTTGTTGCAGAGACGTGTCTAACAACAACATCAGCACGCTGCCTCGTGACGCGCTGCAGCCGGCGACAGGACTGCGCGACCTGTGAGTATTATCGGTACACACTATATAAATATAACAATTGGTATAAATGAACTTAATAGTATCGACATAATTACAAGAAGAAGAAAAAATCTTGTGGTAGACCTAATCAAGCCAAGTAAATTATAATTTATAAAATACATTATTTGGTAATTTTTGGAAAACAGGGTCTATCCCAAAACTTGATATTCTAAGAAAACTGATTTCAAAATGTTTCAATCTTATCCACGCCCGAATTCTAAATCATACAAGGACCCGCCCGATTTCGTGTGAACCGGGATTTATTTTTAACATTTTTTAAAGTTTGTTATTATTTTAAAACAATTTTTATTTCTTCCATTTTAGTGTCAAGCGCCTGTAATTCATAAAGTCGTACACAAAATATCGTGAACATCACGTGGTCCGAGTTAACATGCTCATAAAATAAAAAAACCGGCCAAGTGCGTGTCGTGCCACGCGCAGTGTAGGGTTTCGTAGTTGCCTGTAGTTACCACAATATATTTGAGCAGGAGTCTCTATTTTCTACATCGGAAATTAGAAAATTAAGTTAATATCAGTATATGTATCTCAACTAAATACTTAAAGTCAAACTGCGCCTTGAACTCAAAATCAATTAGATTTTTTTTAATGAATGATAACCGCCGTATTTTTTTTTTGTTTCCTCCCAGGCGAGGGAGCGTGTGTGAAATCCTCAAGGATACCCTACAGCCGGCTGCAAACTTCTTTACGTCTTACTGTCTTTAAAGCTTCATCTGAAGCGATCATCCCCTGAGAAGGGGATGTTACGATATAACCCCCAATCTTTTCAAGTGCTTAAATATACTTTTTATAAACACGTAATGTTAGCGCGACGCGAGCCGATGCCGTTGGTACTCACGGTAGCGTTGTGAAACTAATGATATTTTATTGTGGTTTTTAAATAGTCTATTTTTGTTGCAATGCAAGGTTTTGCGCTACAATAACTTCATCTATGTCACTATTAATATTTTCTTCTAAGGAATTTTCTTTAACCAAAGTGGAACCACTATCTCTTTTAAAATAACGAATCCGTTATAGTTAACCGTTTTAGTTTTCCTTAAAAGTTCATGAAAGCACTATAATCATGAATTTTTCCAGGTTTTTGAAGGCACCCTACTCGTAAAAAAAATATTACTTATAAAGTTTAATATATCTTAAACGGATCACTAAATCGAAAAATATATCAAAAATGTACAACGTTAATATTCAAGTTTTCACCTCTGCCGGCACTGCGACAGTGCAACCCGTCGTTTTGTTTTTATATTGGAGTTGATTGAATGAAAGTTAAATTGCGGTTTACGATTGACGTATTAAAAAAACTACTTACTATATCTCGTTTAAACTAATTTTCGGTGGAAGTTTGCATAGTAAATGTTTGTTAATTTTATCATTCTCTTATTTTAGAAGTTACAGGGGGGGGGGGGGGCACATTTTACCCGTTTGGCAGTGTCTCTCGCACAAATTATTTCAGTTTAGAAAAAAAATATGAGAAACCTCAATACCATTCTTGCAGACCTATCCATAGATAACCCACACGTATGGGTTTGATGAAAAAATCATTTTTGGGTTTAACACCCCCAAAATTTATTGTTTTATTTCTATTTTTATGAGAAAATCTTATTGCGGTTCACAGAATACATCTACTTACCAAGTTTCAACAGTATATATAGTTCTTATAGTTTCGGAAAAAAGTGACTGTGACATACGGACGGACAGACAGACATGACGAATCCATAAAGGTTCCGTCTTTGCCATTTGGCTACAGAATCCTAAAAAGAAACGGTGTAAGGTTTGCGTTCGTATCACTTTATTATTATTTTACGTTCTTATAGTAAGCAAATATTGTATTATTAAGTGAGCAGGTACTGCAGTTAGTAAATACTTTGAAATGATAACATTAGTTGTTGGAAGCACGGAGAAGTAAGAGCAAATTTTCTTGAATAAAATTTTTAATTCCATGATCTTCCCTTCATTTCATTTATAATGTTACGTTATTTAGAAAAAAATAATCCTTATGATTAAACCTTTCTATGGTTATCATAAAACACGTTATGTGTTTTTTTCAATTTTCACGAGGTTCCCAGCAGTAGCAGACGATTTTAAAAAAATCTGTGAATGCAGTTCTATTAAAAATAAAATGATGTCTTTTTTCAGTAAAATATCCTATCTTCGATATTTAATATACTTTCCCTCCGTGAGGCAAACCCGTGGGAAGCCCTGTATATACACTAAGAAATCTGTTCAGAAATGCTTAAGATACCGTCTAAACTTCAGAATTATATTGCGCTTCGTTAAGCGGGAGCTACCCACCCAGTTAGAATGTAAGTAAGTACATAGACAGAAAAGGATTCCATATAAAAAACAAAATCATTTCATAAATAATGGAAATGTCATCGACTTAAAATCCGGTAAACAAACATGAGGCACATCAGCTGCTCTCATGTGGGTATACATAGAGAGCAGTAACATTCCACAGCATCTGTGTCACAGAGCGCATCGGTACAAAATAGTACAGAAGGTAATCTACATTCAAAGTGCGCTCGAGCAACGCACAATAGACATCACTCACAGACATGATATCTCGGCCCAGAGGCCCGTGCACGATTTTGACAGCTATGTAACGTATCGCTTCGTCAAAGTTTATATGAAAACTAAGCAGTGCCCCTATCGGACTTAGGATAAGATATCTTGACTTGAGTGTGTTTTCCGTTTTCCTAAACTGTTAATTTTTCTTTTTATTTGATGTAAATTAATTGAATTTGAAATTATGTAATTTATTAACATATTTTTCTTTGTGACTTGTAATCTGTTAACCTTAACCTAAATTATTATGTTAAATAACTACTGTTTTTAATGAATTTAAATTAAATAAATGATTACTTGTATATTTAGTGACATGTACTTATTTCTATAGTAATGATTATGAGTTAAGTTGCTCGAAATAGATGAATTTTATTTATTTTATAGGAACATACTAGCTTTTACCATACAAAATTTGACGATGTTGATACGTTACGGAGCTGGCAAAAATTCGTGCTTGGGCCTCAGTCCCCTGCAAGCGCGAGGACCATCCGCTTTAGACATGCGTCTGTGAAAAATATATTTGTTGCTCCATCTCATGCAGAAATGGAGCAACAAATATATTTTTTATACTTTCAGTAGACGGTTGTTAAATTCAAGATGAAACGGTAAATTGTCTTTTTTTATGGCGTCGATACGTAAAGTGAAGTACATACATGAGATTACCTCCTGTACTCGCTATTTTGCGGCATCGGTTAGTAGCTCGCGGTTCGATCCCCTGAATAACTTAACCGGCGCGTTGTGCATTATTAAAACAATCCGCGTGTGTCGCCGAATGCCAGCCGCATTATTGCAAATACCTTCAGAGTCTGCCATTGTTTCTGAAGATATTTCGCAAGGGGACGTGCTGTTTGTGTAGCTTGATCGTGGCCCCGATGCAGAGAGAGAATAATGGAAGAGGTGAGTTGCGGGTTGGGGTGCGGGGGCGGGCACGATGGGCGACAATGCAAATACTTCTAATTCGGATGCGAGTCGCGGTTCACGGCACTACACCTAGCTCCCATTCAACAGGAAGATTTACTATCTTAGAGATTGTACACTTCTAGCTACTTAGATTTATGCTGAACACACCCCAATCTTAAAAACCACTAAAGTACTCTATCTGCCAATTTGATTCATGACCCACCATAAGCTTATTTTCTTACAACAATAGCAAAACAATAACGTAAATTTTCGTTTAAATATACGTATCCCTGCAAACAAGTGTTGTTGTTTTCAAAACAATTATATTTGACGCGACAGATTTTGGTGCCACCATATGACCTAATCGTTACATTAGTGGAAGTTTTGTCCATAGATTTAGGATTTCCATAATAGTTTAACAAAGTTTTTCCTAATGTCAAGAAATCAAAAGAGTTTCTGTTGTTTACGATTTTGAAAGTTATATCGAAATTCAAATTGCTACGAATTTTATCTAAAAGGATGATATACTGCATTTAAAACAAAATCTATTTTTAAAGATCTCTGAACCACGTTACTATAGTTTGCTTGTTATTAGAAGGTCCTTAGTGTTATTACGCATTCTTTATGAAAGAAAACTTGTCTGTTTTTAAAAGCTTTTATTTAATTTACAATGTATATGTATAATTATATTCTATGTTTGTTTGGGTGGAATATTTGGAACCTAATTTTAAAGCAGATTTCTTTACTCGATAGAGCTAAAATTATGTATAGACATTTTAGTAGGAGAGCTACTGAACCCTCCGAGTAACTGTCTGTCTGTAAGGCTAGAAATTCTCATGGTGATGAGTCATAGCATGCTTAGTACGGTAAACATCGCCTGGCCCTGCACGTCATCAAGCCGTATATTTTTGAGTGTCAAAAAATATAAAAAAAAAACTTGTTGCTGTAAGCTTGAAATTTTTATACAACTTAGTTTATTTATTTTAAGTTTAAAAAATAATTGCCAGGCGTTTACGATGAGCACAAGTACCTGCCAGGCGAACCGGAAGGTGTGTAATATAAACATAAAAATAAACTTTATTCTGTAAAGTTCAAATTTATATATGTATTTGTTCAAGCGATTTAAAGTAAGTAGGTAGAATGCCAGGCGGTTCTGGCTTACACAAGTCCTTGCCAGGCGAGGAGAAAGATGCTGCGGCAGTGCGAGTAACAGTCGTAGTATGAAAACTTACATAACTTAAAACTGCTCATAATTTGAAATTAATTACCGTTAATTAATATATATAAGTATTTAGTAGTGTAAGTGTTTCTGTGAAGTAACCGATTTGAAAAAATGCAACTCGATACTTAGATGAAACCTAAATATACCAGCATCATTGGCGGGTATATTTCATAAAAATATACCCGCCAATGATGCTGGTATATTGGATGAAGTCGATGTTTTGTTCTGGCAATATTTTTTCATTTCAGCAAGAAAGTTTTTGTAACACTTCACATGATAG